TGAAAGAAAGAATAATATGCTCAGAAGTCGAGAAAACTGGAAAATCTCGCATATATTTATGTTCTATGAAATGATTGAGACTTTCCTTTTAATATACACCTAATGAAATGTAAAACCTAGGATCGAGTAATCTGCACAATGATATTAATTGTATTTTCATGATAGATTTCTTCATTCTAATTTGAAAACAATTTGACATAGAGCACTTCCAGACAAACGATGTGGGTGTGGGTGTATTCGTAGAGGAAAAGAGAATAACGCCATCCACATTATTAATAAGGTATGCGGTATAAAGTTTCTTTAGTATATTTAATATACTCTTGCATGATTTAGTAACACTTACGTTTGTGTTATTCTGTTAGCTTAGAAGTTGAATATTTTTATTTTCTAGCTCTACTAATATAATTTTTTATTGTTGTTCTCACCGTATGAAACCATTCAAATCGTCAAGTCTTTGAGTATAATTTAATCGTACAATCATTGATACAACAAAGTATACAATTAGTTGTCATTTCAAGTTAATTTTTTTTTTCAGAGTTATGAGATCGTTCATATTTCGAAATATTCAAAAAGATCTAATTAATTTCTATATAATTTAAAATTACAATTTAACGTGATATTTAGATTAACTGAAATCTGAAACATGAGAGAGCTCTCAAAAGGGAATCTTTAATAGTGATTTCAGGATGGAAGAGCAAAACCGTTTTCTAGGTGAGTGTTTCCTTTCCCCTTCCGAGCTCTTATGCTTAATAGAACACTGAAGTCATATTCCTTGTATAAATTCAAAAATATTTACTTTTGTTCCACAAGAACTATGTAAAAGAAAACATACTGTTGCACTTGCTAATTGTTTGACTGTCTCTACACAGTTTATCTAATTTTTTGAATAAAACTATACAATTCGTCATCAAAACATTGTAAGCTAATATTAATTCGAATTGCAAATAAATTCATAAAATTCTAAAAAATATAATTTAATGTCAAACATCGAATATCAAGTTTTGCCATATGAAAACAATATTGTAATTCGAGTTTTGAAAACTTAAACATTACTAATTGAATAATCTCAAGCAAAACGAAAAGTTTATTAAGTCTTGTGTCTATGTATGTCACCAATACCAATACTGTTTAGTATGGATCGGTATTCAGATTGACTTGTATAAACCAAAAATGAACACAGTACAGGACGATAAGTCATTTCTCGTCCTGTTCTGGTGCTCAATTGGATGATGGTTGATTGCAGAACATGACAGAAAAGCCTTCCAGTGCTCATCTCTGGTAATGATACTTTACTTTCAATACTATTTCTATCATCGATCGTTTGATTTTCTTTTATGACTTTTTTTAAACCAATAAATATCATGGTATCAGGTACCTTGCATTGAGTTATGATCATGAAAAGTTTGTTTATACATTAGTAGACCAATATATTACTGATATATTCCATTTCCACTTTCATCACGAAAATGTTTTCTACGTAAACATGAGCACAATTTTAGATAAACAGTTGTTGGTCCGATCCATTGCTCAACTGTTTGACATGCTTCAACTTTTGAACAACTGCCTCGAGCTTGTTGTTGATCTTGATCAAATATTGCTAGCAAGGCGTTATTTAGAAATGACCAGTTTGACTAAATCTGAAAGATAACTTTGGAAAATAAGTTTTTCAGCATAATCAACATGAATATGATGAAGAATAAGTATGATTAAGTGACGAAGTTCAATAGAATTGTTCGTTGCAGTCTTTATTTTCTCTTCTTGTTCTAGTTGATTAAATATTTCAAGCGTTCGAAAATTAGGTAAAACATGAGAAAGACGTTGAAAGAAAAGATTTTCGAAAAGTAGAAATTGATTCGACATCAAATCCAGACCAGAACCAATAAAATGAAATTGGATATTTCTAACATTAACCATTCAAATTATTTAAACAATCAAATGTACAGTTAAACGATTACTTTTTGTTTAATAAAACGTTGATGAGTTTTATCTAATTCTATATAAGGACGACGTCGTAATATTGAACTAATACGAACAAAATTATACGCGAGTATCTAACGACGAAAAATTCTAAATATGTCTTATTCAGATCAAAGCGATGATAACTAAAGTATTCATATACGAGATATTCATCAAAGTTCATATATAAATCAAATGCTTTTACATTTGACCTCAAGAATACACTAAAATATGTACATTCATATATTTGGATATGGAAAGCTATTGATAATTTTACTTCTACTTTGCTTTCATAAGACTTTTATTTGCTCTTTTCCGAAACAGAAATGAGATAATGAAAAAGGACGAACATTGAAAGGAAAGTTCCACATTAAGAAGTCTCGAATGATAATTCATTGCATATTTATTGAGATTGAGTCTCTTTCTCTATCAGCAGACCACATTTTTTCTGTTTCATCTCATTTATCACATTTGCGTTCTTTTTTCAAAATGTTTCTTTTCTATGTATATTCTTTTGCTTTCACTACGTTTTCAATGTTTGCAATAGATTAAGCGACGGCATTGTTTCTTTTTTCGAAGTAACCTAAGAATTTCAAACAATAAGCAAAGCAGCTCAATAGATCATGTCTTCTTTCAAAATTTCTATTGTCATCAATAATTATTTTCTCCTAGATTTATCTTGCCTTTTTCGCTTATTCAATGATATTATTTTTGAAGCAGACCTTATTCATTTTACATACTCTCATACTTCTCAATTTTTCTCTTCGAGATCTCATTATTATCGACTCTTATCACCTTTTCCTTCATCTCTCATAAAGGTCTTCTACAAAAAAGGAACAAGTGAAGAATTTATTCTGATAAATAGTATCTGATCACTTGCTATCCTGCTTGAAATTTCGCAATGAGCAACAAAAGATTCATATTTGTTTTTTCTGCTTATAACATTGTACTCTTGAAACTGATTTGAGTGCACACATAATATTGTTTTTTTGAAAAGTATTAAACTGTTTTCTTTTGAATTAGATGCATGAATACCATATATCATAAGCAGAATAGTAGTGACATTAATCCATTGCATGGCACCACAAAGGATCAACTACAATAGCAAGCGATTGGATGTTATTTATTAGAATACATTCTCTAATTACTTATCACTCATGCCAAAAATATATGAAAAAAAGAGTGAAAGATGATAAGAGTTGGAGACAATCAGATATTGCTCACAATCGACGAGTAATTATTTTCACAAGTACTAGAAAATCATTTTATGGCCTTAATCTGCGACCGTTTTGCATCGTTATTTTCATTTTTTCATAACCATTTCAATACCATTTTGCCATTATCATATCTATATGGGTTGTTCTAATTAATTATCCTATTACAATAGCAATCTCTAAAGATCAGTACTTTTTCTTTTGTATTCTCTCATGGCCAAGCTCATTCTGATGAATAGAACACGGAAATCAACTTATAGATACCAATTCTAAAAGCGAAGAACTTTTAACCAATGTCATCATTTTATAATGCAATCAAGATGACTCAAGTCATATTTTGACAAACTTTGGTTTGAGAACTATTGACAATTGTCAATATTTTCATAAGAACTAATCGAAATGTTACAGCTCTTAACATCACCGTCTAACTGTCACAGGTCCTCTCGTTAATCAACAAAATATTTGACTATTCATGATCAAACAATATCATGAAGAGTACCACAGCCACAGCATCTTTATCGCTTATGCAACATCAATGTCAAGTACAAGACTAGCGAAGAATAAACAATAAAAGAGAACAAACGATTAAAAAAATCACTTTCCATACACCTGAGGTTAAAGTGAATAAGGAGAGAACAACAAAAACTAGTCACATAAACAACAACTTCTTCAGTAATCGAATAGCACAAAACTAATATATTAATAATGTTCATTGACGTTTGAAAATGAAAATCCATCGTAATATGATGATAGGTTTAAAATCGCTAAGTCTGCTGAACGAAAACAGCTTCTTTTTGTTTCGCTTAATTACATTTTGATTGAATCTTTGCCATAGTAAACATATTCCAGTATAAAAATCAAAACTGAAATTCTCTGTACACTTTTCTCAATCAGTCAATTTACCGATATATTCTATGAAAGCTTACTACATTAGCATTGCATTACTTTATACTTTTTTAATGCTTTCATATTAGAATTAAAAAACTAACTTTATGCTTTTGCATTAGTGTTAAAAAAATAATTTAATGTCTTGGCATTAGTATTAGAAGAGTAATAACCTAATGGTAATGCTTATAGTTCTCAAGAACAAAACAAAATTTTTCTGTTTTGGGAAAAAATCCCCCTAAGGGAATAATGTTGCTCTGCTTTTGGGAAATATACGTATTATCGTTACGTTAATACTTTTCTAATACTAGTGCAAAAGCATTAAGTTAACTTTTTAACTCTAATACAAAAGCATTAGCGTTTTCTTAACATTAACGCTAGCCGGATACCGCTACTTCATTGTTTAGCTTACACAACAATTTCACATTCGGATAGTGACGCACACTGGCACCAAGCAATTGAATCTTCCAATCATTCAGAGAGAAAACTCAACCGACTACATTTTTATTTTATGTAAAATAGAAATTCTTTCACAGCGAGAAAACTTCAGTGTATGATGATTTCAATGTTTCCTCGTTCTTGCTATTGATGATCAGATATCTAAGAAGACATTCAACAGATTATTCTCAGTAGATGCTAATTTGAATACAGTTGTAGAACTGAATAACTGAAGCATCTCAATATCTTCCATTAATTCTTTTCTACTGTCTTTGTTATCTACTTAATATATACGATTTACAATTTTTCTTTTCATATATGCCTAACACATGATTTCATTATATGAATAATTAAAATGCATGTCTAAAACCATTTTTGATTGAATCAGCTGAATATCATACCAATGATATTGATTTAAAAAAAAGTTTATTAACTTTTTGCATAACAATCTGAAGACTACTGAAAATAAATTGAAAATGTTTTGTTTTTTTCACTTGAACATATTGCTCAACCAAATGAATGAAATACTTTATTGAAATCAGTTGTTCCAATAACCATTACTGGAAAACCTTGCCTTGCCAATTTATAAGTAGCATCCACATGTATATGTTGTACTATAGATGCAATGTTGAGCAAATGAACAGATGATATAAATATACGAAATTTGTTGCCACCATCATCTTCTATATCTTGATGGTCTTCATATTCTTCATCATCATATAATATGTTGTAGGATACAATAAAAGATTCGTTTTTATCAATTGAAATATTTTGATTATTTTCATACCATTGTTCTAATTCATATACACTAATTTTACATGAACCAAGTTTCGATTTTCTATAGTAGATAAGATAATTGTTTAGCTGTACTGGCGTTGAAACATTTATTTTTCCTAACTGACGAGCTCACAGAATTAGTTTTGGTTTCTCTATACCATCGTTAAATAAATCTTCTATGTACTTTCTAACATTTTCATCAATGCCACAAACTTTGTCATTATGATGTTCGTGCTCCATTTCTGTTTGATAAACGATTACTTTATCACTATCTGCATGATGTAACAGATAAATATTTGCAGGACATTGAGGACCACGATGTTTGGTTTTTTGGCATCTATAAGAAACTTTTCTTCCATCTTCTATGTAGTTTGTATAATACTTTGACCATTGATTTTCAACTGATGCTTCTGCTTCATCAACATTATTAAATGTATCTTTTTTAATCCAACATTTTGATTTCTTTTTTCTTCGCATTCTTTTATTTCCGTTTGTTCCACGATCTTCTTCTACCATCTTTTCTTCTGAGATATATCGCTTTCACATTGAACAACTTGTACGACTTCCATAGTTAAAAATAAGTCAAATTTTGTAAACAAGAATTATGCTATTTTTATTTGAAAAACACAAGGTATGCATACGGGAATAAATAAAGACAACGACAAGATAAGTCGAGAACCTTGTTTCACTTTATTTTAGGTAATGAACAATAAGAAGAATTATTGTATTAATTCTTCTTACTTACAAAAGATGTAGGTTAAAAGAAGTAGGTCAGAAGAACGAGAACATATGTGGAACAGCTGAAGAGAACGAAAAAGAAAAACAAAAGTGATTCAATGTATAATCATTTCAATTTTTAGAGTGACTAATTAATATAATCGACTGTTAATAAATTTTATTTGTTGATTTTTAAATTTATTTACAAACCGAATCATTTTAATAACTGATCATTCATTGATTTTACTGATCACAAATCATATTCCCATTATTAATCAACTATTTCGTTGTATCTTCATGTTTTTTTCAAAGATCTTTTCTATTCCTTCTGTTCGTAAAAATCGAACTTTACTTCGAAGTTCCATCCTTTGTGAATTCAAGTTAAGGTCAATTTCATGTTTTCTGATTGATTTTTTGTTTTATTAAATATATCGAAAAAGAGAATAAAATAGTTTATTGAACCACACTAAAGAGTAATTAGTTTCGATTTGGTTCTTAGTTTTTCAAGTTTCACATTGTTTTTTTTCGTTGATGTCGCGGCTTGTTTCTCAGCGACGACTATGGCGAGGCTTGTTTGAAATATTTTCTTTGATTTTTGTTACTAACTCTTCATAGCTGCTTGTAATAAATAATCGTTGTTTCCAATCATCAATACCCATTGATGGTGCTTGATTTTGCAAATGATGATGTACACCAGATTTGTCTTGAGTAAAGACAAGAATCGGAACATGCTTTAAATTATGCTGATTCAATAAATGTAATAAATTCAAAGGATTCTTATTTTCATCTTTATAATAACCACGACAAATGATTTGAAATTTTGATGATGATTTGATTTTATCCTTGTTTCTCAATAGATGATCTTCCGCTTGTGAGAATTTTTCAAAGAAATCAATTTTAACATGCTTATCACCTGACAACTGTTTCTCCACATTAGAGGTCTCGTTGCTCTTTTTGTCAATCCAAAGAATACGTGGGCTATCGCTACTAGCTTCTGCTGCTGCCCTATCTGGTCTGGATTGAGTAGTTTGTGCCGTGGAGGCATTTGAACCATTAAAATCAAATGTTTCATTAAATTTCCAGAAGAACATATAATCGAAAAAAGTATCAGTATAGGCTGGTGGGATATAAAATTTGGCATCTTTATTATTATTCCAAGTCCATGTATTATTAATTATATTGTTTGGTTGCTGACGTCGACGACGAGAGTCATCTGAGATAACTTTGATAGAATGTAAATCTTTGCAATGTTGTGGATTAGTCATATATTCATAAGGAATATAACAATAGCCTTCATCACCCTAAAAGCAAAATTAGTGTGTTGTTCGTATTCAGAAGAAAAATATTTTCTTAGTTTTCTTTCATTTCTCATTATTGCAACTATTCTATGCAAGTTGTAGAATACAAATGATAACCATAATTTCACCTTCGCATAATATATCTTGGAGAAATGAACAGTTATAAATAGTTAAATGTATAGAATAATTGTCATCAGTTTATAAAGTCATTTAGAGTCTATAGTAAATCATCTAGCTAGAATTTACTGATTGATTCTGGTAGATAGCTACTGTTTGGGCAAAGCTCTGCTCAATTGTAAAAAGAACACTTGTGCTTTTTCAATGCCGAGTTTTAGAGTTTCTCAAGTAAATATTCAATACAATTTGTTGAATTTTTCTCGTCTTTTATTATTTTGTGAAGAATAGATGATTCATATGATGCTGATTTTAGTCATATGGAATCTCGTTAAAAAAAAACATCTTCGAATCGTTCTATCTGACTGTAATCTTTTGATAGCCTGTATTTTTAGGATGAATTTGTACTATAAAAATTTGTTTGCAGAACCGATCAGAGCACAGTTAGACAAATTTATTTGGATCGGCAACAAACCGTGTGACACAAATATTCGGAAAATAACTGAGATAGTTAAGACTGATTAATTGGATTTAGTAAACAGAATCCAAGTAACAATCTACTTATGAACAGAAAACCACTTATAAATGTACTGATAATTTATTCTAAATCATTTGCATTAGTGTAAAAGACTATTAGACAATCACAAATGTTAAAATAGAATAAAGAAACAATGTCGATCATTTGGTTTTTGTCATTTAGAACAACATAGAAACGCAGAATTATTCTGTTGAGTTCAATCCAAAATGGAGCGCTATGAATTATTATGAGATACAGAAGATTGTTGTTCAGATCAATGGTTACAGAAAATAGAGCAAAGCTAATCACGAATACATATAAATGACAGTACAAAAACAAAAATGAATTTCATTTGTTTTTTAGTATGCCTTCGGTTTTAATTTGTAAACGAAGAATATCTATTTTCCTTGTATCTACGATAACCTTTCGTTTTTCATTTCATCTGTTGTTTTCATGTTCTTTGAGAAACTCAAAGATATATCAGATAAATATTTCGATTTATATTACAGTCAGTAACAGATGACCTTCAACAAACACTCACAAAAACCTCAGAAATCGATATTGAACTCACCCAGTTGTTATTCCATGAATTTCTAACAATGAAATCTCCTGTTTCTTTCCTGTATCCAACCGCCAACATCGCATGCCAGCCATGTTGAGCATGCTGCATCTCCAGATCGGGTTTTGGCATCGGTACACGTCCTTCATTCTGTTGAGCTTGGTTAAACGATTCAAATATGTGCAATCCAAATGCAAATGGATATCCTTCGGCTAAGCACGCTTTCATTTCATTTAAATCAGGATTTATCGACATGGCATCAACTATACGATACTTTCTTCCTTCTTCATAACATTGTGATGGTGGTTTTCGATTGATATGTGTGACGTTGAATGGATATAAAGATTCTTTGCAACAACCGAACTCTTTCAATGCTGCAATTCCACTCCGAATAAAAGTACCGTTATCCTTCATGGTGCGCTCATTCAATCCTTCTTTGGAACGAGCATTGTAGTAAATAAATAGACGACTAACATCGACATGTTTTCGATGATTTTTCATTATTAAGAATTCATATGCACCTAAAACCAGATATGTGAAGTGTTTTAATAGATAATCAAAGTGTGAATTTACCCGCTAGTGCATTCGCAACACTAGAATAAAAAAAGAAATAATCAGATAAGCACCTATAAGTCACAATCTGTTATAGTAGGAAAAAAACATGTAGGTTCCATTTAAGTATTGCAAAAAAGCAATTTTTGCGTGAGAAGATATAGACAAATTAGAAGATTTGGTTATTTAAGGGAGTAGAGGAGATTGACCAAAGATGACTTCATCCGGTAAAAAGCCCTCCCTAGTAGTCGCCTCATCAACAGCAAATGGTTTTAGTTTATAGTATAGGTGATTCAATTGATGAAAATAAAGCTATTCGTGGAATGCTTACCAGTACTAAACATATTGTCAAGCAGTTCATTTCAGTCTAGACTCCCTATGTCTTGAAAATCGTGACAATTTAGCCGATTTTCAAAAAAATCAACGTAAAATCACGGTTAATCGAGTCTTGTTCAAAAATTGGTGATTCAATCGGATTATACAATAAGGAACGATATTTTCGCAATCGACGATAAATCATCTCGATAAATCGTTACCTAATCACTAATATCATATATTGATTTTCAACTTTGAATTCACTAAAGAATTTGTCAAACCGAGCTGTGAAATTTATTTTCTAAGCATCTCTGTAGCATTTTGATATAGATTCGAAACAAGAAACTAGTCTTGTTTGCCATGAAAGTGTCGCTACTGTCGCATTATCATATTGAACGATTTCGAATAACACGCGAACTGAACTGAACTAAACGAAATGATCAGATGAGACTCATATCGACCGAAAGTTCTTTTTCATACTGTACTGTTTATTTATTTTAGATAACAGAGTTTTGTATTAATTGCTTTGATGATGAATTAAACTCTAGACAAATGGTACAATATTTGACGGATGGAAGTTTGCAAATCTCGTCATTTTTTAGGATATAAGTCTTTTATTGGATTGTTAATATCGTAGTCTTATACTTTAAATATTTCTATTTCTTGTATCTGTTTTAAGATGCTGGTATCATAAAGTAAATTTTCATTTGTGGCTCCTTCACAAAAAACCCAAATCAAAGTCTCTCTCTACTTAAAAATTACATCTTTATTTGCTTCTTTTTATGTTCTGATTCAATCATGGATAAATATGTATGTAGTTTATTATTATTCTATTGTATATTTTTCTCCTTCGTAATAATGTAAATGCTCAGTTTTTTCAATAAAAATAACTATTTTTTCACTTTTAATCATTCTCATAAAGAAATGAATATATCAGTGAAAATCAAGTTCATATGGACTAGATTAGGGACAGAACTAGAAGAATAATAGATAACAATCGGCACAAAATGGGGATTTATTGTAAAAACCATTGAAAATATCGAAAAAGAATCGCCAATTAATCAGCAATTTTTCACCGATTTTGAAGAGATGGGTCTAACTCTAGTCTTTAGTACTTACCAAATATTGGCTCTATTTTTGTCTCTTTTTACTGTTATGATAGGCTCAGTGATCGTTTATTCTGATACTTGCTTTTTATTAAACGTAATCAATCTGATACAACCATCATTTTGTGAGTAATCGAGAAGAAAAAAAAACGTTTTCTCTTTTTCTACAACTCGCAGGTGTCAAACTTGTTGTTTTCCTTGATGTTGACCACAATCTTTCTTCGGTCTCGCAAGTTCGTTGAAGATCTCGAATTTGAATGGGACTTCTTTTTTATCTGTTTTCGATTCTCTTATTATTATTAATATGCTTGATCCATTGTCTCTGAAGATAAAATAAGTTGAATATACCTCTGAGTATTCACTGAAGTGACTATGTGATAAAGATTTAACAGGTGAATTCTTACTTTTATTAATTCTTCTGAAGAGTGAAAAATCAAATGTCTAAAAACTTGATTCTACCGTAATTGAACAGTTATCTATTGTATATTAATGGCATCCTCAACGGTGAGCGTTTCTCATAGGTGTGATAGGTTTCTTACCAAGAACACGATATACTAACCAGGAGTTGGTTTTGCCTTGGATTTCAATTGGTGTCATGAGTTGTCGTAGATCAACTGAAGGTGGTAATTGTGCATCACTAACAAGTCTAAAGGTTCCAAATTTCGGTAGATCGGATGGTTCGTCACTAATTAAGCAGCCCCCAACACGATACTCTTGCCCTGTGTTCGAATCAACATAAAAGCTTCGGTCAGCCATTAAAACAAAGCTATTTTCAATACTCTGTAACGAAAAATGCAAAAAATATTTAGTGTCATATTCTAATTAATAAATTATGCTTTTTTGCTAACTCCATCAAGAATCGAGCATAAACGATAAACACATATTGTAAATATGTCTATAACCGACTCTACTTGTTTAAAGTTTTCTTCGACTTATTAGTCTTAAGCTACCAACTTCCTAGGTATGTATTACCAACTATGAAGTTTACAATCGAAATGAATCATAGTTGAGTTAAAATAAATACTCAAGACTGTAGAAAACTCTTTTCAGTCTGCTTATGAGTTAATTATGTACGATAATATTAATTGAAAAATAAAACTGCTGAATTTATTTGCTTTTTCAGTAAATATTGTATTTTCTATTTCATTAATTTGATTCAAAAAAAAATAATTGAATGAATGAAGAGTTTCTCAGTTACACAAGATTTAGATGTTGTATATTTTTTTCAATAAATTATCAAAATATGATCAACTGATACACGATCAAACTATCATCAACAAGAGAGAGAGCATTTAACAATTGATTTGTTAAAATTTCTTCTTCGAAGTCAATTGATTCGCCTAGTTATGTATTGCGACAGAAATGTGCATTCACTTTATTTAACAACAACTCAGTACCTAATTTCTAGAAATAAGCCGCATTTGCCAGTGGGAAGCAACTTGATGATACAGATGTTTAATATTATTCATCTACTAAAATTTTGGGAAAGAAAAAAATTTCGAACTTGGAATTACGTGGAACGTTGAGTTGTAAAATAGTTTTTTTAAAATCATTATTTAATCAGATTCCTGAACAAAGATCTATGCAAAATAATAGTTGTACAGTCATCTTGGTACATTCAATCTATANAGTGTCTTAGTGTGTGTGGCTGATAGTTTTTCGTTAATAAAACGTTGTCTAAACCAAAAGGCAATAATATATTCTGAGAATACTTGACAAACTCTACAATTATAGCTTACAAAAGAATTTTAAAAGAATTTGCCATGCAATAAAAACATTGATCTAGAATAGCTGAAAACTTGATTTCTTTTTTGGAAGTGAATGAGTACCTTCAGACCAATAAAACAAAAAGAAATTATCAAAATCGATTGAGTAGAACTCGAGTTACGGTCAATGCTCTTTTCGGGATACAACTGTACAATGAGTGTGCTCTTCACTCACATGAGAAGAAAAACAATATTAAGAGAAAAAAAAACAATTACAACAAGAATAGATAACATCAAAACAACATCTGATATATCCGTTGTTACTAGCATGTCAAAAATTCAAGAAAATCAAGAAAAATTAAAAATATTATCAAAAGAATTAAAAATTGTTCCAACGCCAACAACTATTAATGCAGTAACAATTATTATGAACTGTGAAAAATCATTATATCCAACATAAAAAATAATTAAAAATGCAGCTATATCGAAAGCATCAACATTTGTTCAAAAATGGACACAACCTAAGAAATTTGATGCAAGTAAAGAAAAAATGAAATGATTAAAATGAATAAAATTTATCGAAGATATTATTATTGTTGAAGTTGATAAAAGTGGAAAAATAACTAGTTATTATGGACAAAATAATTATATTAATAAAATTGAGGAAAAATCTAAAGACTAGAATATTTATGAACAAGTGAAAAAACATATAAGAAAAACAATTAAAACAGAAATCAATAAAAGGTTATTAATTCATTATATCAAAATAAAATTACAGAACAAAACAAATATTGGTTAACATCGATAGATGATCTTTTGAAAATTCGTGATCAACCGAAATTACATGAAAACAATACTACAATGAGAATAGTTACTTGTTCAAAAGATACAATAACATTATCATTATCTCAATTCATATTCAAAATAATTAGATTTACAAACAACATTGAAGGCATTTAGCAAGTCTTGATATTCAAGATTTATACACAAGCATACCAGTTAATCAAATAATTGATATTACATTAAAACAACTTGACGAATTTAATAAATTAGACAATTTATTATTTACTAAAAATGATATTGAAGATTTATTGAAGGTAGCCTTAAAAAACAATTCTCTTCAATTAAATTTCATGTCCTCGAAATCGCTAAAAAGTGGTGATTAATCTCATTTTTTAATGATATTTTTAACTATTATTATGATAAATCGCAAGCTATTCACCAATTATTCAAAGCATTAGCCGTGGTGTCATAGATAATCTAACCTAATAAAATTTCCATTTATCAGCGATTTTATTATAGTCTTAATAGACCGGATCTTTTTTTTTCAATAGTTTATATCACGTAACAAATTAAAAGTAAAGAAAAGACCAGAAAGAAATTATAGTACAATATCGACAAAATTTTAACAAATTCCAATCATAACGTAGAAGAAACTAAATCAAAAATAAAGCATTGTAAGTAATATAATGACGACATGTTAAAAAACAGATAATAACGAGATCACAAGTCAGATTAATAAGTAAACTTCGCAAAGTATAGATATGACATACTAATAGTGCATAATGCAATCTCAGTTTTCATTCATCTAGTCTTTCTGGGATTAGTTTTTTTATAAGTTTCTACTTATAGATTGTTACTTAGCGGATAAATAAGATCCAATTACTGGAACCATACTAACCTATATGCAATAAAAGATTAAAAACTGTCACAGTCTTATGTCTTTAATAGTACGAAAATTTTTTAAAGGTTCACTACTGTTCATGTTTTCTATAAAATGTTATTTCAGGATCTAGAATATGTTTCACTGATTCCAATATTACAAAGACTATATTCGATTGATGATAGAATGCAAGGATTACCACTTGTTAAAGTACACAATATATCGATAGAATCTATTTTGAGAACGATGTATGCTGCATAAACGTAATGAAGAAAAATTCGTTAAAAGAAAAAATATTTTCAATCTTTACATGAAACGATTGAAATTCAAGAAATATTTCTGTTTTTTAACTACGTCAAACATTAGTATTCTCTGATGACGTTGCAAATAGTTAATTTCCTATTCATTTTTATACTAAATAACACCGAAGAATTGCGTTATTTATCTGCACATAGAAATGCATTGGGACGAGTAGTACGAGCTGCTTTTGTTGTTCTGTACAATGTATAATCGAGTGGAAGGAATAAAAACTATTTTTTTACCTAGTTTTCTATCTATTTCTGTATTCTTCTGCATTTACTGTAGGAACTTAATTGCGCATCATCGAGATGCAATAAGGACAAGCAAGTGAAAAGATGGACATGATGGATGATCTGAACATACCCGTTTTCATAAAAATCTCATTGATTGAGGATCATCAACTGCAGCAAACTCGTAAAATTCTTTCAATCATACTTGGTACTTGTATTGTAAGTTTTATTTTTATTTTTACTATGATTGAAGAATAATAAGAGAAAACAATATTGATATTTTTTGTTTTGCTTAAGATGTATGCCAATTAGTTCCTACGTGTTAGATGAACAATAGAAACTGGATTATTAAAAGGAAAGAGCAATGAATCAGTTTAATATATTCTCGCACAATTTTTTCCAAACAAATTAATTTTTGCTCTAGTTGTTGCCATAATTTTGAAAGTAAATATTGATTTAAAAAAGTACATATCTTATCTTGTATAAAAAGCTACAAGCAACAAAAACTGTGAAAAACTCATATTTAGCATTCTCGAGTCAAGATCTAAGATAATGAGCAATAGCAGAAGAGATTTGTTCGAATTAATGCAGTGTAATCTCTATGTATGAAAATGAACATGAAAATTAACTCGTTTCATACTAATCTAAGAATACATTGACTAAATCGATTGATATCATGGTCTAACTAAATTCATTATAGTTTCTATCTAACAATATTCATAAGTTTCGAAAACTCTTTATCATTGATCTATGTATAGTCGAAGAATCTATTTTTAATTGATATCCTTTATTAACCTATTAGTGTTTGTATGTACTCGGAACAATTAGTGTGATTTTTGGAAACACCTATGATGATTGTTTAATTAAAACTGGACCTGCAGCGGAGATTGTTAAATTTCTTAGTTCAATTCTTGCCTACAGCTTTGGATTACTCGTCGCTCGTCGATACTATGAAACTGGTTTACGAATAGTATGTATTTGTCTCTTGGTTTTTGTTCCATATATAAAATCTTCATATAAGTATCTGAGGTAAGCCAGTTTTGTTTTAACTGCAAAACCAGATTTCATTTGACTTAAATCACTTTTTACAACTTAACCTCTATTGACTTAACCTTATTAACTAATGAGTCGAATATTTATTAATCACATAAGTTATTTTTATGAACGTACATACAACACAATAACTTTTCTAATTAGTTTGAAGTTCTTTTTGAAGCTATTCGTTGTTTTCTATTAAATGATTGAAATTCTTCATGAGTTGAGTGAAATAATTGATGATTGTAAATCCAATGTCTTACATAGAGGCCAAAGTGAGTATTCATGGATTTAACTATTCCATCCAGAAGTGACTCTAAAATCTTACAGAAAAAACTGTATGAAACAATGAGTTATATCTCGTTTAAAAATCTTTAAATAAAAACTCTCCGCACACATAGTGACATAGTGCTATGTTAAATCGAAATTATGTTCGATAAAAAACTCTTCTTAGTATTTATCTTCTAGCTATTTTTGAAGGTAGAATATTATGCTAAAAATATCTATCAAAAATACAACTTTTGACAATTTTGTCTATTTCGAGATCTTCGATATATGCATTGATATTCGAGAAATTCTGCAAATAGCTAAAACAGTGTTCTAGATTAATGCTGTTTGAATAAAATCTTCGAATTAACAGTGATATTTTCACTTTCTAATTTTAGTTTGCTTGGCTAATCATACTTGAACTGGTTATGATTGGTATAGGTATTATAATTGTAGTTCTTATAATTCTTGGTGACATACATCGAACTGTGCCAAACTCAGCCAGTGATAGAGAACGTGACAGCCTCATGATTCATACGCAAATAGGTGCTTTTTATTGTGCCTTTATATACATTGTTGCTTGTGTTCTTGATGTAAATATTTTATCTCGTTCATGTCTATCGATGTTATATTTCTTTTATTTTATAGATTATCATTGTAAAATTTGCTTTCAAATTAGCCAAATGTATTGCTCTCAAAAAGTCTTTAACCGCCCCACAAGTTTAATGTTTCTTTTTGCTCGAAATTCTACTCATGCTAACTTGTATTCAGTTGCTTTTGTAGTTTTTCATTGGTTATCTCGTTCTTGCTCAGAAATTCAAAAATAACTATCAAATATATTTGCTTTATCGATAACTTGTTGAATGCAAGAATTACTTATAATATCAAATACTGTCATGCGACAAGCGCAAGTTTCAGACACTTATAAAGTAGAAAAAATACAGTTGAGTTGTGTGGGGTGTGAGATGGGTGCGGGTGCAGGTGAAGAGAAGACTTACATGATTTTGATAATTTTTTGTTTTGTTTTGTTTTACCCGTCTGAAATTGGTCATCCACTTCTGAAAAGATCAAGTTCCCATTTACTTTAGTTTTCGAGAAATCGTAGCGACAAATCAAGTATAGAGCTTTTAACACTACCTTCGGAAGGCAACCAATCCTTTTTTTTATTCCATTAAGATCTTTTTTTTTAAATTATTTCTTTAGCTAGAGTTGTAGAAACTTTCGAAGAACTTTCACAATATGTCTTTAGTTTCAGCTTTAGACAAAGTTTTATGAATGAAAAACTGCCGACAATTGGCGTCAAGACACTTCATTTTTGGTGTAGAGCAACATTGAAGTCAATGCAAGGGGGGGGGGGGTAAAGCAAATTGTAAAGATTTCAATAGATTTTAAGAGACTTTAGCGGTTTTAGGAGGTTTCAAGTGATTTCAGCTAAACGAAATCTGTGCACTCTAATAAATCTCGACTTTAGAGCTAAATCTAGCCACATTGTATGCGTTTTGCGATGTGAATTATGAATAAAGAATGTAAAATGGGTTTTAATCCTTTCAAACAAAATATTCTTTGTCTGATACGTTTCAAGACTAGAAGAGATTTATATTCACAGTATACATACTACGTAGATGTCTAGATCTACTTTACACTAGAACTTCAGCTTTCTACTTATTGTTGTTAAGGAGATAGAAGCAAAGCAAAATTTACAAAAATATTGTCATTTATTTCTAAAAATAATGGTTAATCAATCATAATTGTAGTGTACGCATTCATAAATTTTCTTCTTGTTTGTCCACTTGCTCAGCATACATTTTTTAAATGACAGATTCTGCGTGAAAGCCTATACAAAGTTATATACAATTTTATTTAAAACTTGTTTTCAATATACGACAAAAACTATGAAAAGTAAAAACATCGAAACCGACGTCAAGAATAAGTACAAATGTGACGTTGGAACGACGAAAATATTTCGAGATTTAGGTCAAGTTATTTTATTAATTATAATTCATTTATGGAAGCAAATGGTCAATAAAATCGATTACTTCATACCAGCTTCTTGGGGTTCCATCTTCAAACCAAATCATATCTAAATTTGTAGAGGATGTCACGCGGAATCTTTTGGTTAAAATCTGCATACTGAGCAAGTGAACAAAAAAGTAAATTTGAAAATACTTACATTGTAATTCTTAACGTTCAACCATTATTTCTAGAAAAAAGTCACAGATTTTCCAAGGTCAATCACGGTCGGCCGTAAACGACGGTACACCAACCAATTACGACGGATAACGGCGACGAGTTCCAGTAGTCGTTTACGGCGATTGGAAACGATGATTTACTGCCCAATACGGCCATCGTAAACCCCTAGCGTAACAACACGGTGACTGTATACGGTGTTCGAAAAACACCGTAAGACATCGTATACGTCAAATGTTTACGGTAGCCGTGTACAGCAATTGTAAGTCATGTTTTACGGCACATTACGGCCGCTGTAAACAAAGACCATGAAATGTCGCCGTGAACGACTGGTGTAGCAACACGGCAACTGTGTACATTGGTGACATAAAATGCCATAAGCCACCGTTTACGTGAGCTTTATACGGTACCCGCTTACAGCAATTGTATACAATGTTTTACGGCCATCATAAACAATGACCGTAAAAAATTACCGTGAACGACTCCCGTAACAATACAGTGACTGTATACCCTCATCGAATGATATCGCGTAGTACTGTCTGTGTCAACTGTAACTAGTTGATATAGGAACGTTATCTTTTATCGTATTTCGTACAAAAATTCGCTAACGTTAGCGGACTCTTCTTATTCAATATAAATCAACGTTCTTATCATCCGTTATATAGGTCGCCGAGTCACAATCGTTACCTATCCACAAAGTCGAGAAAAAGTTGCAAGCTCGCCTCTCTGCTATGCGCAATATTTTTATAAAATTCAAGAATTTTAGAACTGTCTTACTTTTTACGATTTTCGTTGATACGCTTGGTGATATCGCTGAAACGCGCAAACCTCAGACATTTTCCCACGGCATAGAAATGTCGCCGCTGTAGATTCTCAGTGACCTCCTGTGAAAAACAGCTAGAAATTACATTAAAATTCGTGTGCTTAGTACCAAAAATTATTTAAAGCTTCTCATTTTAATGTGATTTTCACTAGACTTTTCAGTCCTGACGAAGGATTTTAGTTTACTGAAATCTTTTAAACGGATTCCTAAATTTACATCAATTTCGGTTGCCAATCAGAAATCAATTTATATCTAAATGTTAGCCATATTATCAACATATAACCTCGTTTTCTTCTTCTGCTACATGAACACAGAAGCAAAACCGATGCTACTTAATTTTTCCCGACTTTCAAAAAAGTGGATTGTATTGGAATTTTTGCAGGCATTTCGGTTATTCATAAACTTTACGCAGCAGGATTTTTCTGATACTATTAAACATGTTCGAGAAAGCAGTGCAAGTATGATTTCTTCGGCCATTTATTATTATCATCATTTCCCAATGTTCTTTTCAACAGAGTTCGACCATCACCAAGATTCAAACGCTATTCTCCAAAAGCTCTGGAACATACCATACTAAGAGCTACTTTCAGAGCACTTTTCGAAGACGGCATTTTAGCATAATCTTTTCAATAGCTTCTTCGACAGCAAAAACTAACGTTATAGGGCATTGAAGACGCCGTGCCCTTCGAAAACGCGTTAACTCCTGAAAAACAAACTCAGGGTGAGTTACACCAAGCGCGATTTTTCTGATGATTTCTTGCATTTTTCAAAAAAATCAGAAAGCAGAATTTTTTCGATGCTTCTTTCAAAAACGAAATGTGTAAGGACAACAGAGATGTCGTGTCCTAATGGAATTCTTATTCCTTAAACTATACTCACTCAGGATAAGAATGAAAAATCAGGATTTTTCGAGCATTCTTTTAATGCTTTTTGTGCTTCGCTGATTACTCTCTTATTTTTCGCGATTTTTCATGGTGATTTCGATTATCCGCCTTAGCTCGATGCGCTCTTTCAGATGAGGTGCGAATCATCGGATTTCTCAGAACTTTTTCAAACAGAAGTTTTTAGGGATTTATCAGGAGTTTTTTTGATTTCTTTGAGGATTTTAGCAAGATTTTTGGATTTTGGAAGAATTTTTTGATTATTTTTTTGTTTGTTATCCTCTGCTGGCGACCGTTAATCATCGTATAGATCCCCAGAGGTGGGGTAAAAGTTGACTTGTAGTGCCGTATACGGCGAGTGCTGGGTCGTTTTACGGCGTTGTCTGTGTCGTACACTGCAGTCGTATGCCGCCGTATACGGTGTTGTAAACGGCCGTGTACGGTCGTTTCTGGTCGTCGGAAAGCTCGATCTGGGTTAGTATGATGCATAGGTACCTTGCACAAAAGATAATCATTAATAGACTGTCACAGCATCTATGGGTAAGTGTACTTCTTTTCTTAAATATATCGCGTCATCATCGTCATGCTCAACACCATTACTAGTGAATACTCGATTTAAAAATCAATCTTTATGTCTTTGACAGTTACATGAATAGGAACAAAAATGCAATGTGTATTTGCAAATGATAGCTACTATATAAAAGTAAATATTTAAACCAGCGGAAACATAAGACATATGCCACAGTAATATAAAAAATCAAGATAAAGCAAATGTCATGTATTCATGAGTCAGCACTTCTATTTGTTAATAGCTATCACCTTCTATACATGGGGGTACTTGCAGCCTGCCTTGGCCTCTATTTGACTAAAGCCATGATATATGATAAATATCTTCGATTCCATAAAAAAAGAGGAAAACATATTGAAACTGAAAAAGAAATAAAAATTTCAATCTGAATTTGAGACTAAAGAACTAAAACTGTAGAAAATTTAGAAGAGTATCTATGTTTGGGACATCTGTCTCTAGAATGGTTCATTCATTTGAGCCAAAACATTTGGTTTATTTCTAATTCAAGTGTACCCACCTACTATAAATAGTAGCACATCTATTAGATCAACCGAGCTATTTCCTTCTGGAGCTGGTTATGGTTTGCACATGATGCTTCGTCAGTATTTTGACATGTTTTCTCTATAAAAATATAACAAATATTAAGAACGTAGATTTCCGCACACAATTTTGTGAGCTCCATCAAACGACATTTAAATCATAAAAAAACATTTTTTCTCAAATTTTGAATGCCTTCACCTGAATTTCAATCTTATTTGACTGCTCAGATACTTTTACAAGACGATGAAATAGTATCTGCGACAATTGGCCGTCTGTGTAAAAAAGACACATTCATTTCTTTCTTCCTGTAACTGACTCATCGTCGCATTACTTGTTGCGCTTGCGCTAAACGTATCTTACAGCATACCGTCAACTATGTTTTCACCTTTATGATTCACACGGTAACGTTCTTCGTTCTTTCGCTCATATTGACTTATAATCTTTAGCCACCAAACAGTGGGTATTTAAGTGAGTAATTCTACCAGCATAGTCATTTTCAACGATGCTTCGAATCAAGCAAGATTCTGTCTTTTCTACACAACAGCCAGAACAACAATACGTGCCGTTAAAACAAGTAAGTGTCGAAGCATACATTAAATTGTTTGCTGCTGATGTGACAATCAAGCAAATTTTTCGTAATGATGAGACAATACCAATTGAAGCCGTGTACTGTTTTCCGATCGAAGAACAAGCAGCAATCTACTCATTTGTTGCTCGGATTGATGATCGAGAAATTGTCGCACAATTGAAGGAAAAAAAAGAAGCACAACGAGAATATAACGATGCTCTTCAACAAGATCATGGTGCATATTTACTCGAACAAGATGAAAAATCTCAAGATAATTTTATAATCAATGTTGGTGCACTACCAACCGGTAAAGAGTGTCATATCTCTATATCGTATGTCTCCGAACTAGATCTTGTTCAAAATGGAAGTCGAATTCGACTTGTTGTTCCAACAACTATCGCACCTCGATACAATCCAAGCAAAGGTGGCATTAGCTCACCAGCTGGTACCACGTCCAAATACATTCAAACAGCTCCATATACAATTGAATTTCGTTGTCGGGTCGAGAAAACCAACATCTCTCGAGTTAGTTCGACATCCCATCCCATTCAAGTTGAAGTCGGCCAAGAGCATGTCTATGTCATCGAGTTTGCCCAACAAAACACACATCTAGATCGGGATATTTTATTAGATATTGAGTTAGCTAGTAATCGTTCAAATACTATTGCTGTGATGGAACCAGGTGCTGTTATGGCTTCATTTACACCAACCGAAGAAGATTGTAAACGTGCAATGAATAGTGTGGAGACGACAAATGAATTTATTTTTATTATTGACTGCAGTGGATCGATGGGAGATGAAAACAAGATTGGATTGGCACGTGAATCCATGTTACTCTTTCTTAAAAGTCTTCCACTGCATTGTCATTTTAATATCATTCGATTTGGGTCAACTCACGAGGCTTTATTCGACGAGATTACCGCTATTTACAATGAAGAAAATGCTCAAAAAGCTGAACGACTCGTCAGTCAATTGATGGCAGATTTGGGTGGCACTGAATTGGTCGGCTTAAACAGTTTTATCTTAAACTATTGTTAATTTGTTTCTATTCTAGTTACAACCACTTGAATGGATAGAACAGCATCCTCCACAAAAAGGTCGTGCTCGACAAATATTCCTATTGACCGATGGAGAAATTTCAAACGTGGACGAAGTACTCGATCTATGTCGTTCAATGGCTACTTCCACACGTGTGTTTTCATTTGGTTTGGGTCATTCACCAAGTCATTCACTTGTCAAAGGTCTTGCTCGAGCAACAAATGGACGTTTCGTTTTTATTCCACCTAACAGTAGTGTCGATATTCATGTTGGTGAACAGTTACAAAAAGCTCTGCAATCCTGTATAACCAACGTACAAGTAAAATGGAATCTGGGTTCGAATGTTATGAGTGCGCCAACAAAAATACCACCAGTTTATGCTAATGATCGTCTGATTGTCTATGCACTTGCTGATGATCCAATGCTTGTCTTCGATCGCAATTCGAATGTCGAATTATGTAATGATAAAAGTCGATTAGGTGAGGGAAAAATTGTTTGCCTACCGAATGTGGGCATGAATGGAGCTATCGCTCGACTCGCTGCCAAAGCACTTATTCTCGAATGCCAGCATTCTAAATTGTCCTCATCGATCGAGAAGAGGAAATCAGGTTCGCTGCTAAGTTGTTTTCGGAAAAGCCGTTCACGGCCAACACCAGCAATGACAATCGACGAAAAGAGAATGACAAAGAAATCCGTAATAGATCTTTCACTCAAGTATCAGATTCTGAGTCCATATACAGCTTTTATCGGTGTGGAAAAACGAGTGAATGCCAGCAATGCTGATATGGTCTTGCGTGAAGTACCGATTCAAATATCGACCGATGATCAACACTTACAGACGCCTCATGTCATGAGTCTCTGTGCCAGCAAGATGCCATCTAGTGGGATGTTATTTTATGCAATGTCAGAGCGAAAGAAGGTGCGGTCTATGATGATTCACTCAAAGAAGGGCTACGAGGATGCACACTGGTCTCAAACATCGATACGAACAGCAGATTTGTTTCCAGTAAATGCTATGAATGAAAGCTCCCGAAATGCCCTCTATCAAGAGTGTTTTGATTTGATGGCGTCCGATTCCAGTTGTGATTCTGCTACGACCGACTCACGTCAACAATCCTTGGTTGATGGAAGAATAAATGAAACATGGCCTACTGGCGATCAAAATATCGTTCGCTACTTGATCAAGAAACAAAAATTTGATGGTTTATGGGATCTGGATGCTGAAGATATAGAAAATTTGACTGGAAAATCACTGACAAACTTTACACCATTCAACAATAAACAAATTCTTATTTCGGCCATTGTTGTTATTGTACTTGAAGTACGCTTCGCTGCATTGTCGACCATGTGGCATGGCATAGTGCAAAAAGCTCGTAAAAGTCTGATCCATTTGCTCAGCGAAGATACTAATCAACTTGAATTATTACTGGATAACATTCGTCAACAATTTTGACAGTTGTTTTCTATCGATTGAACATGAATGTTTTGATTGTTGTAATCATTTAGCTGTAGAGCCAGAAAACGAATAAAGATTTTTGTCCGCAGAAAATCAACAATAGAGGAGTCGAAATTTCAGTGAAACGAAAATATATTCGAGGTGATGCTCGATTACAGTGAACGTCATTCGAACCGCATTACCATTATCACCGATCAAAGTCTAAAGATTGTCCCAGTAATTCCGTACAACCCGCCCTATGATTTCTTTGGGAAATGTTAATAAAAAAGCAACAAGCCTTTTCTAAGAGACACGTAACATACGGTTAAATCTTAAATAAAACCATACTACAGTCATAGCATTTTCTATTTAGTATGCCCTTTTCAATATGTTCATTCAATACGCCAAAATCTATCATGCATATAAAACTTAAATGTTAAATCCTATCAATGAAAACATTAAAAAAAGAGATTTTCCGCGTAACTGACCTTTTATATCTGTGTTGCGGCATGGAGGCACGTAATGCTTCCCGAAGAATTGTGATTTATACTCGACCGTGTGTACCCAGTAAAGTCTATCTTTATTTTATGCTTTGATAGTACTGAAAAGAACGTATAGAAAAGACATAAATCCAAACGGATCGAAGAGGGTATGGAAATACTTTTTCTCGTTTCTGACTGAAATAATAAACTCAATTGGTTCTCCTTATCATGGCGTCTATGCTGTGGTTAAGATATAGAAATATTGTTTAGTTTCGAACACTGAAAGAGCTTTATTAGAGTTTATTTACTAGGGGTGTCGGATTAGCATTAAGTTAAAAATAATGCTAATGCAAAAGCATTAGCATTAACAGTTAATGCTAATGCTTTAGCATTAATGGCATTAGCGTTAATTAATGCTTAGGCGTTAGCATTAATTTAGCATTATTTTTAATGCTAATGCATATACGCAGAACAATTCGAGACTGCTACCTTGCATACTACCATAACTTTTAAGGGCTACCAGGGGGCACTCTTTGTAACTTTTCAAGCGTTACCAGGGATACTCTTTGTAACTTTTCAAGAGCTA